AAAGATAAAGTTAGTGAAATTAGAATTGCTGTAGCAACAAACATTAAAAAAGTAATGGGAAAAACATAAACATTATAATGATGAAATCAAAAAACTTTCAGAACAATTAAAACAAGACGAAGACGTTGATGTTAAATTTATTATGGAAAATGGACCTATCGAATTGTTTAAAAGAAAGAAGGTCGTCACTTCTATTGTCGAAGATCCATGTGAAAGAATTGTCTCATTTGAGGGATTTGGAAGAAAGTAAGTTTCCTTGTTCTGCATAACTAAAACACAATTTTTTCATCATTTTTTTTGTTTTAATTTTTTGAATTTTTAACAATAAGAATAAAAAAAATAAAGAAGAGTAAGTATTATAATATAAACACAAAATAAAATAAAAATTAACAAATTTTTGTAAACGTAAAAATAATAATACTAAAATTAAGATTTTAATATTATTTTATTTTCATAAAATAACTATAAAAATAGCAAAAATATTTATATTTTTAATAGAAAAAGGAAAGAATTATTATTCATACTATATTATATAAAAGATTAATTATGATAAATATAAAGATATTCATGAATTTTATTCAACAAAATCTATCTTATTTATTAATATGAAAAATAAAATTAATTTAGAATAAAACCGAGTTATTGCTTAGAGAAGGAATGCAAGAATGGCAACAACAGAAAGAACCATTGTTGAAATAGCTCCACATTGGTACATAACTCCCTCTTTGCAGGTATCACATTCGAATTGTTCTTCATGTAGCTTTTTGTCACCAGTACATTGATCATTTGCATAAGTGTTAAGATACATTTTTCCATTTTCTTCTTCTGCTTTACAATAATCTCCCAAACACTTATAGCAGCTGTCAGTAACATATACTCTAACAGTATCATCACGGTGAGAACAAGTTTCATCATCTTGAACAAGAGATATAAATGCAACATGTGTTGGAGCTTTTCTAATTGATCCATAACAAGTACTTTTAGTATCAAGTGCACATAATGTTTGTGTAAGTTGATCAACAGTTATTTGTGTTTCAACATTAGTTCCTTTACAACCTTCTTCAGCATAAGCAGTCATTTTAATATTATCACCATCCTTAGAGAATTTCATTGCACCACTATCTGAACCAAAGTAATAACACTTTCCAAATTCAACTTTTATATAGTTAACTGGATCTCCATTTTTGTCTTTATCTAAACCAATAACTAATGAATCCTTTGCTAAAGCAACTGCAATAAAGAATACAAAACACAACATGTTCATATGATTTTGCTTTATCAGTTTTCCCTTTAAATAACCTCCTTAATTCTTACCCTTTTCAATAATTCCTTTTATCGTTCACATTTTTTGTTGGAATTTCTTTAAATGTTTTACTTCATTCCCTTTTTTAGTGTTTTAGAACTAAAAAGAAAAAAGTAAATAAAAATAATGTAAATAAAAAATGTACTGTAATATTCTACAACTTATTGAATCTTCTTCACAGTATTCTTATGAACCATTTGTTCATCTTGTTTTATTAATTTTGTTGTTATTATATTAATTTCATAAAATTATTCCTCATTCTTTTTTTTTTCACATATTTTTAGATTTAAAAAAAAAAGTTTATTATTTTAAAGAAAGATAAAAGAATTTCTAAAT